TTTTCTTCCTCCCCTCCATAGTTTGTGCCATTTATGAGTCATGTATGGTACCAATAAAATGACTTTTCGGTTTGAAGCTGTCCCGAGCGCTTATTTCTGAGCATGGGACCCGGACGATGCGGGCAAGGCAGAGGGCGGTCCCCTCGTGCCCCTGGTGCCCTGGCTGGGGGGAGCAGGCACAGGGCTCGCTGTGCTCCCGGGACGATGCTGGCTCGCCTCAGGCTGCTGGGTCCCAGCCAGGCCCCGGCCGGCTCCCTGCCGCGCTGTGGAAAGCAGAAATCCCAGCAAGGACGGGGCATGGGGCTGCTGGGAAACGGCCCTGTCCCCGAGCCAGAGCAAACAAGCGGCTCAGGGTCTGCCCTGACACTAGGGTGATGGGCACGTCACCTGGGGAGCAGCAGGGGTGGCACGGTCCCGCTGTGGGAACAGGGCAGCAGCAGCCGAGTGGCATGCAGGGGTCCTGGGGGGGGGCAAAGGAGGGGCAGTGACCCCCCCGGCCCAGAGCAGGAGGCACAGCACCAGCCTCCATAGGGGCTGCCCTGATCTCTTTCCAGGAGCTGGGGGTCCCCATGCCAGTGCAGGGGGTAAGATGCTGGTCCCCAGTTCCCCCAACCAGCTGGCCCCAGAGATGGCATTTTGTTGTCTCCACTGGGTGGGCGGTCTGGGGGCAGCCGGGCTCAGCCCCCAGCCATGGGGACACAGTGGGCTTAAACTGTGGGTGCCTTGTCCCGTGTAACCCCCGCCAGCCAAATGTGCAGGGCAAGGAGCCTGCGGCTGTGGGTAACGCTGGGGCGAGGGCAGATCAGGCAGTAATGGCGGAGGAAAAAGGGATGTGGGGTAAACCATGCTCTTAAAATAGGGCTGATGGAGCGGAGGGTGGGGGCAGGATGGGCCCATGTCTTCAGAGCAGGGGGGACAGGGACAGGGCTTGGGTTGACATCTGCACCAAGGGATGTCACCTTGCCATCCTTTCACCTGATGGGGCTGCGGTCAGGGCAGCTGCAGGGTGCCTGTGCCGTGGTGGGAACTCACAGCATGGGGAGCCCATGGCGTGGTGGCACCCCGGGCCAAAGTGTCAACGCCCTCGCTCCGCGCATACACCGAGCTCTAGCTGCCTCAGCGGGATGCCCTGGGGAAGGGAGGTGATACCCTGGGAGGCAGGCAGGGAGGGAGGCGGGGGCCGTGCCACGGCACAGAAGAGGCAGGACCAGCAGCAACCAGCCACCGATGCTCCTGGCAAAATCACCACTCCACACGATCCCAGCAATGCCTGGCTGGATCCTGCCCACGTGTGGCTGTGGGAGCTGGGCGTGCACCGATCTGGGGAAGTGCAACACTGAGGGCAGCCGGCCCTGTCCTGTGCGGGGTCCCTGGTGCCCGGCTGCCCCCGGGAGCTGGCGGAGGGCCCTGATGCAACTTTGATGATGGTCTGAGCTGGAAAGCTCAAGGTTGTCCATGAAACCCCCCAACCTTCCTCCCCACATCAGCCCCAGGACTGTGAGAAACTTTCTGAAGTTTCTGCTTTTTACTTTTTTTCCTTTTTTGAGGAGGGGGCATCTGTGTCCTCCACTGCCCTGCCCTGATGCCAGTGCCGAGCCAGAGGGTCCCACATGGCACCCCAGCACCTGGCACAGGCCAGGCCAGGAGGAAACCCCGAGGCAGAGCTGCCTTCCTCCCCGTGCCACCTTCACCCAAGGTCACGGAGAGCAGTGACGCCTGCTTGTGCCAGGGAAAACTAAGCAGTAACCTGGGAGGTGGCAGCCAGCAAGCCATCGGTGCTGGGGGGCCAGGAGCCTGGCCATGCAAAGGACGTACGGGTACGGCTCACCCGGACTCCCCGCTGGTGCCTGTCTGAAAGCACACGGTGCCTCATGCGGGAACACAGGGCTGGGGCAGGGGCCAAGAACCATGCTGGGGGCACCGGCTGCACCGGGGAGAGAGGCGGGGAGGTGCGGGGCATGGCTGAGGGCTGGCATGGGGGCAAGGTGGGCAGCGTGGGAGGCTCTGGGCATGGGGGCTGTGGCAGGGTGGGGTGC